AAAATTGAACACGTTTTCAAGAACAAGGGCAATAACTCATACTAAATATTTTTCTATTTTTCTGTTTTTCAATACGGTTGATCTTTGGGTGATAACCAACACTCATGCCAAGTTTCCGGCAAGAGTGTTTATGAACTAAAAATTGAACGCGTTTTCAAGAACAAGGGCAATAACTATTACTAAATATTTTTCAATTTTTTATACGCCCACATCAATATGTGGTCGTATATTGTCGTCGCCCCTGTCCGTCGATCCGTTTGTCCGTCCGTCCGTCAACATTTCTTGTGAGCACTAGAGACTACAGTTTTATCTGATTTTGATAAAACTTGGTGTGATGCTTTAGATTGATAAGATCTCGGTCAAGTTCGAATTTGACATATTTTCGATGAACGGTTTTTGAGATATTGCCCTTGACTTAGAATGCCTTGAAATTTGTTAAAAATTGTTCGTGAGCAGGATTGAAGCTACAGTTTTCATCCGATTCTGATGAAACTTGGTGTGATCATTGGAATTCATAAGATCTCGGACAAGTTCTAACTTGACGCATTTTCGATAAACGGTTTTTGAGTTATTGCCCTTGACTTTGTTAAAATGCGTCGAAATTTGTTAAAAATAGTTCGTGAGCAGGATTGAAGCTACAGTTTTCAACCGATTCTGATGAAACTTGGTGTGATCATTGGAATTGATAAGATCTCGGACAAGTTCTAACTTGACGCATTTTCGATGAACAGATTTTGAGTTATTGCCCTTGACTTTGTTAAAACGTGTTGAAATTTGTTAAAAATTGTTCGTGAACAGGATTGAAGCTACAGTTTTCAAGCGATTCTGATGAAACTTGGTGTGATCATTGGAATTGCTAAGATCTCGGACAAGTATTAACTTGACGCATTTGAGATCAATGGTTTTTGAGTTATTGCCCTTGACTTTGTTAAAACGTGTTGAAATTTGTTAAAAATAGTTCGTGAGCAGGATTGACGCTACAGTTTTCAACCGATTCTGATGAAACTTGGTGTGATCTTGTCAGGAAAAAAAATCTGGAGATTTGCCTTGAAAAATCTGAAGATTGGTTGAAAAGTCGGGAAATTTTTCCAAAGCGTATAAATTCGTGATTTGAAACTTCAAATTGATATTTTTTTTTTTAAATAAGCTTGAAGCCTTGTAAATCAATTAAATTGATCATAGGCCTACAAGACAATTAACAAAGCTATAATTAGGAATAGGCTACCCAGGCTAAATAATTCTAGAAATAGTGCCTGTTTCCAGGGATTATTGGGAATCCAGACGTGGAAAGGGTGCACCCGATGGAATTATTGTTGTAATAAAAAGAACAGCACATTCACTCGTATGTAAGCAAATGAACGTAAATCTACTTTTCGTTCCTATGGATGGAATAAGTAGATATTACCGTCTGTAACACCTGTAAAGGACACTATGAAGATTGGACAGAGGGCTATATACTAAGAATAAGAGCTTTAAGCTGTCATTGCAGCTACAACTTCAAATCTATAGTGGTATACCCAAGATAAGCAGATATTCGACAAGGAACCAGGCACCATGGCTATTTCCACAATTAAAACATTGGCATCCGTATCCGCATCCTGTAAGAAAACTAGCATCTGATGCTTTGCATACGTGTGTACAGGTCAGGAAAAAAAATCTGGAGATTTGCCTTGAAAAATCTGAAGATTGGTTGAAAAGTCGGGAAATTTTTCCAAAGCGCATAAATTCGTGATTTGAAACTTCAAATTGATACTTTTTTTTTAAAATAAGCTTGAAGCCTTGTAAATCAATTAAATTGATCATAGGCCTACAAGACAATTAACAAAGCTATAATTAGGAATAGGCTACCCAGGCTAAATAATTCTAGAAATAGTGCCTGATTTTTCAAATCTAAAAAATCTAATATTGTCATTCCTCAGTATTGATTGAATCGAAAATAATATCCAGCTGAAATGATTTTTGAAAACAAGAAAGCAAGCCCAGCCCCCAGCCCTCTAAATTAAATGGTACCGGTAGGCCTACATCATACACTTAAAACCATATTAAAAGATTGCTTGCCAGGCAAGGTAATATACGCCCACTGGCAGCTTTGATTTTGAATAAAAATATGTAGCAATACAGTAACAATCCCCAGTATGAAATATTCAACCTTTAGTCATACACTTCTTTTGAACTCTTTAGGGCAATACTGAATAATATTGAGTATGAGTTATTGCCCTTGTTCTTGAAAATGTGTTCAATTTTTAGCTCGTGAAAACTCTGGAAGGCAAATATTCAATCTTCAGCGTGGGACTGAATAATAAAACCAAGTTTTGTCAAAATCCAGCAAAAATCATGCCTTTTAGTGTTTGAGAGCTAAATTTGAAAGCATTTTCAAGAACAAGGGCAATAACTCACATTAAATATTTTTCAATTCTTCTGATTTTCAATAGGGTTCATCCTTGGGTGAATACGAACATTCACACCAAGTTTCATCAAAATCCGTCAAGGATTGAATGCTTTTTCAAGAACAAGGGCGATAACTCATACTAAATATTTTTCGATTTTTCTGATTTTCAATAGGGTTCATCCTTGGGTGATCATGAACACTCACAACAAGTTTCGTCAAAATCCTGCAAGAATTGTGCCTTCTAGAGTGTTTACGAGCTAAAAATTGAACGCGTTTTCAAGAACAAGGGCAATATCTCATACTAAATATTTTTCGATTTTTCTGATTTTCAATAGGTTGATTTCAAAGACTCATGTTGGGTGATTACCAACACTCATACCAAGTTTTATCAAAATCCTTAAAGAATTGTGTCTTGTGGGTGACGGCAATATACGCCCCCCATTTCATGTGGGCGTATAAAAATCAGTATGTTCTGAATGTATGTTTTGTCAAAATCCGTCAAGAATTCTGTCTTGTAGAGTGTATACGAGCAATTGTGGACGGGCGGACAAGGGTGACGGCAATGAAATAGGGGGCGTATAAAAATCAGTATGTTCTGAAAGCAATATTTAGTAAATAATATTTACTGGCAATGTTACTTTTTCCAAAGATGGAATTCAAAACATCTCCAATCCGATGATAAAATAATTTTCCTGCAACACCTTCACGAAGTATTGAACCAAATTTGCCGCTTTCATTTTGACACTCTTCAAATATGGAAAGACTTGTTATGCAGGCATTAATGAATGTTTGCAGGCTACAGTAAAATTACAAAACGATTTTATGAAACAAAGTTTGAGTTTACATAAGAAGTAGACATCCAGTCGAGCATGATAATCAACCGATAATAAAAAAGAATTCAGAAACAACGTCTATGTTATGTAGACATCACAGATTGACAGTATAATGTACTATAAAGACTTCAAGATTGCGTTTTTTAGTAAAAGTAGGGCTAATTTATTGTAAAAGTGAAAGTAGAACCTACTGGATTTGTTATAAAAAGTGTGTCACGTGGGCTTAAAATAAACATTATTCGGTGAAAAGAGATCAAATACCATCTTAATTGGGGGATTAATCAATTAGGCAATGAAGAAATTATCTGCAATTACTCCGAAACCCTTCATCTCATTGTTACCAATTACGAACTCAAGTGAGATCTCATCAACATATACATGCATACCCAGTTTCATCAAGGTTGGATAAAAACTGTAATCTTTATCGTGCCTATAATCGGAATTTGATACTTTTTACTAAGTCAAGGGCAATAAGTCTGAAACCAATCATTCGATTGTCAGCAATTATGAACTCGACTGAGATCTTATCAATATATACAAGCATACCTAGTTAAATCTAGGTTGGATAAAAACTGTAGTCTCTGTCGTGTGTACAATCAAAATTTGATTCGTTATTACTAAGTCAAGGGCAATAACAATAACCAATCATCCCATTATTACCAATTTCGAAGTTGACTGAGATCTCATCAATATTCATGCTTACCGAGTTTAATGGCTTAATAATGAATTTTCAAATAATCTTAAAATGATCTCTAAGTCAAGGCAAAAACCTGAAACAGTTCATAAAATGTTTCATCGCTGTACACACAAGAGCAATAACTCGATGAAACGATTCGTCCAATTATTACCGATTCCTAACATACATACATCTAGTTTCAATAAGATTGTATAAAAACTGTAGTCTCTATCTTGCAAATTTGGCAAATTTGACGCGTTTTTACTAAGTCATTAAGGACAATTACTCTGAAACCGTTCTTCCAATTAGTACCAATTTCGAACTTGACCGAGATCTCATCAATATATACCTGCATACCAAGTTTCATCAAGATCGGATAAAACCTGTAGCCTCTATCGCCTACAAGAAATGTGAACGGACGGACAGACTGATGGACATGGGCGACGGCAATTTACGTCCACATTTCCATGTGGGCATATAAAAATTGTGATCCATTGGTGTGTGGTAGACTACGATGGGAAAACCTTGGAAGAATTGTTCAAGCTAGTGTCAGGATATGGGTCCGGACAAAATCCTTTTCTACTATTTTCTGCAGTAAATAAAAGTGAGAGCAACAGAGAGATTTTGACTTTTTATCTTTATGCATATGTCAATAGTATGGAAGTTGAGGTTTAAGGTTTGAGGTGAGTACATTTACTTTTTTAATTGTGATGGTTTTGGAATCCCTGAGGAAGTATGTTTTTAGACACACGAAACGTTGGAGGAATAAATGGTTTATTTTGACAGAAGTTTTATTTTTTTAAAACCCCATTTGTGGGATTTGATAAGTATCTGTTAAAGATGTGAGGTTGGCAATTTCGCCAATTAGAAGATCAACTTCTAGGAGATGATATGAATCTTGTGGTATAAGTTATATTTCGTTCAAGAAGAAACATTAAATTATCCAGTGCCATTGACTTGTTTGAATACACCCATCTACAGAATTCAGTTATTTAACAAAGACAAATGAATTTCACATGTACAGGAGATGTGAATAGGAACTTGCATTCTGCATATGTATCAATAAGCAGATCTATAACTTACAATTTTTCCTGAATAAGACGTATATTGATAGAAAGTCTGGGATCAGTAAATTGAGTGGTTCGAGATCTGTGATCAACATAGTAAACACGACCAGTGCCAGTTACTCTTGGTTCCCAGCCTGCAGGTAGTGGGCCTAATTCATCTTCTCTCAATTGTAGATTAGATATGTCCCTGAAAAGATACAAATTCAGTTAAAAAGGCATATCTATTTGAAAAAAAAATTTGTCATTCTATACATATACAAATGCAAACAGGAGACATCCAGTGTCCAGTCATGTGTACAGTGCAAATTGATACAGTTGAAATTGGAAGATGGTGTTTTATGCATGGGCACAGACCAGATATGGTGTAGGAAAATCCAAGAAAGCAGAAGTTTTTAAATTGGATATAGATCTCATAATCAAGATAACATTAAGTAGGGTTCAATTTTAAGTGAAAAATTTTGCTTTTGGCTCATCTCACAAAAAAGCAGTCCATAACCATTGGGTATCCAGTTTTAGGTCCTAAATAGCTACAGTCAGATGACCTAAATTCTTATGCGCAACCTCCTTATTTGCATGTTTTGAAAACAGCAGGGTACAAATTATTTTTTTTATTTGCATAGCAGTTTTTTGTTCTATGGGCCAAAACACCATAATATTAAGTGGTGATACAGTGTTTCTTGCTCACTTGGGCCTACATGTTTACTTTTTATAATATTTCTTCAATAATGGATTTCTTATACTCCTGATATCCTCCATTTTATTTTGGAAGTGATGAAATACTTGCAATTGTCATATTTATTTCCGTGACATTGAGTCTAAATTTTCAATTTCAATTTTCAATAATATTTAAACCTCGGGTTTGCGGTATATTATACGGAGATGGATATTTAAAAGTTGTTATTATTTTGTTACAAATAGGAGTGTTGTATGTCGATTGTTACATGATGAAGCATGAATTTTTTCCACCACGTAGGCCATATCCATGCTGTTCTACTCTTTCTCCCCGAATTGTGTTCTGCTATCCACATATCAATGCTGTTCTACTCTTTCTCCCCGAATTGTGTTCTGCTATCCACTTCAGTATAATATTCCTTATTCAGCACAATCTATGACTACGATACTATTTATAGTAACAATCATGCCTCCTTTGATTCTGAACTGACTTTCAGTCCTCGACAAGTAATAAAAAGTGTGACAAATTAACGGTATCCCATTGTTTTAGACACCAAATTTTATAATGAGTAAATTTCATTTATTATTAGAAAATATTATGTATTAAGTACTTGGTTTCCATTCCTTTAGATCCATTGCAACAACATCATTAAACTTTGAACAGGACGTAGTGGCGTCTTCTTAAATTTTTGGCAGACATCACATTTACCAGATATATCTTCAATTATTTTGATGGTATCTTCAGCAAACGTTTTATAGATGAGTGAGCGAACTGTTTATGCAATTATGCAAATATTATGCAAAATAATTTTGAATTTTTCACTATATGATTGACCATTCATGCTAAATAACACCTCAAAAGTTTCATCAGGCATAAACGTAGGTAGGGATTGGAACACATAATGTCCTGAGGATGTACTGTCAAGCTCAACCTCTATATCAAAGATACTTGCTTTATCATTTTTTAAGTCTAAGACCACTCTAGCATCCTTCATAACAGATTTTCCGAGAAGTAGGGGAATGTCACTTGAAACAATGTCACATGTCAAATCGGCATTTTGTATCAACAATTTCACATGGAATGGTCGCCTTTCCTTTGGATGTGAGTATTGTTCCACCACCGATTTTGAAATGAGTGTCACTATCTGCAAATATCACAGAATCATACTGTTCCTGGCTTAAAATTCCAAGGCAGCAATCCATCCAGAATTCACCAGGTACTGTTGCACTGCAAGCACTGTCCAATACACCACACCAAATTAGAAATTCACCATTTGTCTCCATTCTTTGCAATGCCATTTTGAGTTTTTATAACAGCTTTTCTCTTTGACCATACTCTGCTACCATGAAAACCATAGTTGATGATGATGATTATTTATTGATGTAGATGACAAACATACAGGACGATTTATAAAAACCTTGCGGTAACATTACAACACAAACATATAGATGAATAAGATGATCAAGTTTACATGGCAGCAGCCAGGTTTAGCAAGTGAAGCTCAGACTGGATCTCTTTGCCCAGTATCTTTTCCGCTTCTGGCTACTCATGCACATTACAACATATATAAACTAGTGTCCAAAAGAAACGATACCAACTTATTTTCAAAATTGTTTTTTACTAAGTGAATTGTCTAATATGAAAACATGCCAATTCGTATTGCACATCCCAAACACAGCATAGTCGATAAAAATACCGGGAACACGTGATCACTTCCGGGAAAAAACGTAAATTTCGTGAAAGTGACATTTCCCTCTCTAGCATGTTCTGCATGTGCATAAAAACTGTATAAAACGGCTGATCAGACACCTTGATATCACAGCAACAAAAAGAACACAAGATATGCCACGTTTGACAGCCATCGAGAGAGAGAGAGCCGTTGGAATGGTCCAACAAGGTGCGACACACGTCGACTTCGCCAGAAGGTTGGGCTGCGCACGCATCACTATCACCAGGTTGATGCAGCGGTTACGTCAGACAGGTCAGACGTCAGACAGGCCCAGGAGTGGAAGACCATGAGTAACCACGCCCCGTGAAGATCGTTACATCTGGGTATTACACCCAAGGAACCGCACCGTAACAGCGACGTCCACGGTGGCTACAGCACTGGGACACAGGATCAGTCGACAGACCATCTACAGGAGACTACGGCAGTATGGTATCTGGCCATATCATCCCTACCGCGGACCGCTCCTGACGCCTCGACACCGGAACAACAGACTGATCTGGGCCAGGCGAGTTCGACGTTTTCAATGGCGGGACTGGGCACGTGTTATGTTCTCTGATGAGAGCAGATTCCTCATCTTCAAAAACGATGGACGGCAGCTTGTATACCAACGATTTGGTGAACGTTTGGCGCCTAACTGTATCCAACAGGTCCGGCCGTTTGGAGATGGAGGGTTAATGATTTGGGGTGGCATATGTGGTGACGTCAAAACGAGGCTTGTCGTAATTCGTGGAAACCTGAATGCACAGCGTTATATTGATGACATCCTACGGCCTGTTGTGGTGCCCTATATTCAGCAACAGCCTCGTGGACTCCTTTTCCAACATGACAATGCAAGGCCACACACAGCAAGATTGACACAGAACTTCCTTGCCAACGCCAACGTACAGGTTTTGCCATGGCCCGCATGTTCACCGGACATGAATCCCATCGAGCACTTATGGGACCACCTCGATCGGCAAATCCGACGTCGCCGTGTGCCTCCAGTCAACGTCCAGGACTTGGAACGATGTCTCCTCGAGGGATGGCAACGCATCACTCCCAACGTCATCAGACGTTTGACGGCATCATTCCGTAGGCGTGTTCTGGCATGTATTGATGCTCACGGTGGACATACCCGCTACTGACTTGACTTTGTGACGTGTGGTGTGACATTTCCCGTTGTTTCTGTGATCAGTGCTCTAACGAAATGTTCTTTTTTCGACCCCACCCATCTTTAAAGGCTTGTCATATTGGTTGTACAGATTTTATTGAAATGAAATTTTTGTACAGATGTTGTGAAAAGATTTCTCAAAAGCGTAACACCAATCCTAAACTTCTGCATTGTTTAGTTTTTCTTTTATGTCGCAAACAGGTGGTATCGTTTCTTTTGGACACCAGTTTATTTTATGTCAACAATCCAGTTGTGTTTTACTGTGAGTTATTCAAATTGGCTTACCGATTAGCGGTATTACTGACTAAACCAAAGTCGTTACTTGGAGTGAACCAAAGTCGTTGCTTTGAGTAAACCAAAGCTGTTGCTTTATGTAAACCTAAGATGTTGCATGATGTCCTTTGATTTAATTGCATTTTGTTCCTTGTAGGACAATGCCAAAACGTAAAGTTTGTGAGGTTAATGAAGACAGGGATGATCCTACAATGTCCACTGCGGAGAACAGGTTAACAGACATTTTGTTAAAGAAAATCATTGATATGGGCCTATTGTTTGACCCCAATAAGACTACAAGTGGAAATTCCTTCTAAATCTTCCAACATTTACTATTTCAGATCAACCATCAACGTCATCTACACCATCTGTCAGCTAGTTGTCCACTTGTATTATTGCTGTTAATGCTGCAGAATTAATTTCAAGCCAGTCACAAACATCAGGTATCTCATAGACATGCCAATGCAATTGGCATTGAACATTTAGAGACAGAACGTAATCTCTTCTGCTCCCAAATCCAAAGTTTTAACCTTTGATCAGTGGCATAAAGTCTTTGGAATTTTCATGGACATTTTGTTCCAGAAGGATACTTTGTGTGCCCAGAGTCTTTTGGCTTATTCTAGCCTATCAGAGCTATTCACATCATATGGCATCAAAGCTGTGCACTTTTAAGATTGCCAATTTCGGTTATTACACCAATCTGGACCCTACACCTGGGACCAAATTCATTTCGATCTTTGGTTGAGAGCAACAACATTACATGGGCCTATGGCAAATAAAACCCCACCTCCATCCTCCCATAATCCATCAAAATCTTGTAGTCTAGGTCAGTTTAAGTGAGGACTTAGAGAAAATTCCTTGATTTTTGTAAAAGCAAAGGTTTTCCGATCCCTAACTCTTTAATTGGTAATTATATGGCATTCCTTTTTGAATCTGAATTCTAATCTAGCTCAATGGCTACCCATGCTTCAGCTAATGGGGCACTGGAAGAGCTCTGCAGTCAAATCATACATACATGTGCCAAATTTATCCATTTAGGTCTATTTTCAGATTCGTGATTCTTAAAGTGTTTTAAAGTTTTATAGTTTGGGCTGGGATCCAGGCTGGCAACTCTGTTTATCATTAATATGATTCTACTTTTATGATTCATATAAGTGCACACATTGCACGGAATATAGATTGTGTCCTGGAGTGTAGGGTTATTTCACTATTGTCTTCTGATTTGGGTAGCTGCTTACATGTGTCTTGGTTTGGGCCTGTCATCATAAATGGTGATATGTCTGGCATAATTAATTTTCTCATTAAGCCCAAACTATATTTTATGTTCCAAGAAATATGAGTTTCACTTTATCTTACATTTATGTATCAATTCATGTAATCTTTTCAATTGCTCAACTCATATTTCTCATATCATTGAAATAAATGATATTCACACCAAAAAGCATATCTTTTTATCTGGAGAGGAGAGGCGAGGCACCTCAAAGTTGCCTGACTATTCCTAAGGTTCGTCAGTCTGGGGGTTGAGAGACATAAATACTAGCTTTTAGACGCACTAGGCAAACAAAGTCGAATTTTCATCAGATGGTCATTTTCTCTCAAAAATTAAGGTTTTTTAAATGGTAATTTTCCACCCTCTTTCCTCAACATTTGAAGAATCAGCTTTTTTTTTAGCAAATTTAACAAGATAAAAAAACACCACCAATTCATATTCTATGACTTTTAAATAATATCTTTACATTAGTACCTATGACTGAGAAGGACCATAAATATAATGTTGACTTTGCAGGATGTATTATATTCTTTTATGCAGTAACTTAAAGGTATCGATTACAGATAATTTTACACAGTATTAGTTATACATTATATGTAAGTGTATAAAAATTACCTTGGAATTCTAGGATCGTGCCATGTGCTAACACCAGTTTCAGTGTGTAAAAAATAAATCTGACCCTGCTGTGTTGTTCTTTGTTCTGAAATAATAGAATTGACATATCTTCACAGAAAGGTAACCACAAAATATTCCAGGGCATCACAACACCCACTAAAGATAAATTTTAAGATACATCCTTACTCATCAAAGCTCTTCAACTATTATTTTGCCACTAGTATCTCTTAACTGTCTTAGAATTTAAATCACAAAATTCAACACAGGCATATTATATACATTATATTTGACTTTTTTGATATCCTTATAAGTTTAATTCTTATAAAATTCAATAAGTGAGTTTGAAACTAAAAGATATGAAATGACGTCGTAAATGAACTTTTTGACGTGACAACCATCAAACAGTTTGAGTATTCTAAACTTTAAATAGTTAGTAAAATAACGGAATAAGATGTGATCGAGATCCATTTTGGGTGTTTCTGAAGAAGGCAGTAAGCCGAAACGTCAAATAACAGGACAATAATAAAGTTTTAATTGGTTTCCCCTTTTTGGGAATTTGTGATATAATTTAAAAGATAGTGTTTTACTCAAATTAACTTTGAATTCCATCTGTTTGGATTGAATTCTGTATAATTTTCTTGCATTGAACTTTTTCATCTTTTTCATCAATTAAAAAAGAAAGCAAATTTAGTGATGAATAACTATTTTACATATTTTCAAAATATTACAAATGGCCACAATTGCAATGCATATCAAATTATTTAGATATTTATAATATAATGTAAAAAATAGCAAATTGTTAAGATTTTTCTACATTTTAGTATAATTTTTTAATGTTTTAAATAGGTTTCCATGGAAACCATTACCCAAAGTTTTGTCTCATTTGGGTAAAGATTACCTTTCTCTGACATTTATAATTGTTGCATTATATATAAACATATATGTGTACACTGTACAGGTCAAGAAAAAAAAACACGCCTTAAAATATGCCTTAAGCTATGTAAATCAATTATTTATCATTTATTTATGATGTTTGAAAACAAGGATGCAAGCATGATTTCATTGCTCTACTAAATTAAATTGTACTGGTAGATGAACCCATATTAAAAAATAGCGATGGCATTGTAATACGCTCACATTTGTAATGGCAGCTAATTTGTCCGGGAGGTTGACAAGAGTTATCAGAAAGGAATGTCTCTGAGAGTGAAATTTTCATATTCCATGGGTTTTTTATTCAAGTGGGATTAATTTAACATGTCAAGTTTCATTTAATCCATATAGAATTGAATCTTTTAGTGGCAGCAAGTGGCAAACAGACAGACAGACAGACAGGGGCGACGGATATATACGCCCACATTAATGTATTATTCCAAAAAGAAACAAGAGCCACACGTGCCATAGAGTGGGACTTTGCAAATGTAGCAAATTGCAAAATACTCCGAAAAAATCAACCTTCGCTATAATTAGATCAAGCGCAAGAACAGTCTAAAGTTGAGAAATTTTCATTTTTTAGAAGATTCTAATACCAGAAGTAGACGTCAGACCTCACAAATGAAAGTATCAGCAGATAGCCAAGGTCAATGACCTTTGATCTTGTAAAGGAGAAGGTCTAAAAAGGTCAAGATCAAGAGATATACGTCATCAAAATTTCAAATTCCACACGACTATAAAACCGGAAGTTGACATAGGACAGCAAATATAAGATAGCTTGCGTTGCAAGATAACATACGCCCACTGGCAGCTGTCAGAAATAATAAAACAGTCTTTAGTGACTAAAGTACAAATTTTCTCATATTGAAGAAATTATTTATGCTGAATAATTCCACAAAAATTAAAATCAATATCAATAACCCAAATACAACAAACAATTAAATCACACAGCTCTAATCAAGGGCAAAAAACAACTTTTGACGCATGTCAAGGGCAATAACTCAAAAAATGTTCATCAAAAATATCTCTTGTTAGAACTTGTCTGAGAACTTATCAATTCCAATGATCAAGTTTCATCAGAATCGGTTGAAAACTGTGATTAATGATCACACCAAGTTTCATCAGAATCAGTTGAAAACTGTATCTTCTATTGTGCTCACGAATAAATTTTGACACGTTTTTACAAAGTCAGGGGCAATAACTCGAAAACCGTACATCAAAAATGCATCAAGTTAGAACTTGTCCGAGATCTTATCAATTCCAATGATCACAACAAGTTTCATCAGAATCGGTTGAAAACTGTAGCTTCAATCCTGCTCACAAACTATATCCACGCATTTTAACAAAGTCAAGGGCAATAACTCAAATAGAGAAAAACGTCAAGTCAGACACGATATTTCGGTGAAAAATTATCCGATCATCACGAAAATCAATAGGGATCATCTTCATAATGACATTGACACACAAAATAAAAATCAAAAGAATCTGTAAAGAATTGTAGCCTGTAGAGTGAGCACGAGTTGCATAATATAGCTAATAGAGTAAAACATCAAGTCAGACACGATATTTCGGTGAAAAATTATCCGATCATCACGAAAATCAATAGGGATCATCTTCATTATGACATTGACACACAAAATAAAAATCAAAAGAATCTGTAAAAAATTGTAGCCTGTAGAGTGAGCACAAGTTGCACAATATAGCTAATAGAGAAAAACCTCAAGTCAGACACGATATTTCAGTGAAAAATTATCCGATCATCACGAAAATCAATAGGGATCATCTTCATGATGACATTGACACACAAGATAAAAATCAAAAGAATCTGTAAAAAATTGTAGCCTGTAGAGTGAGCACGAATTGCACAATATAGCTAATAGAGAAAAACGTCAAGTCAGACACGATATTTCGGTGAAAGTGAAAAATTATCCGATCATCACGAAAATCAATAGGGATCATCTTCATAACAACATTGACATACAAAATAAAAATCAAAAGAATCCATAAAGAACTGTAGCCTGTAGAGTGGGCACGAGCCAAATGTGAACGGACGGACCGACGGACTGATGGGGTGATTACAATATACGCCCAATTACTTGTGGGCGTATAAACAGTATAAATAGATAGCCAATGCCAATGACGTTTGATCCTACAAAGGTCAAGGTCAACAAAGGTCAAGGTCAAAAATTTAAAATTTTGAATTTCCAAAACCTGTTAATTTTTTTTGAACTATGAAGCGGAAACAACCGAAATTCTAAGACAAAGTGGCTCACAATATGAGGTAATTGTATGCAAAGTTCCATTTTGAACAAACGCATACTTTGCGAGTTATGCTCCTGGCCAAAAATGTCAATAATGACTAATATAACCCAGATGTGCCACGCCCACCTTAATATTTTTTGCATAGGGTAATTGATATTCCAAATGTTATGTTGTGTTTTAAATTTCAAGCTTCTACATTATTCAGGTCAAAAGATATAGGTCAACAAATGTCAACAAAGGTCAAAATTGAAAAATGAAAATATCCAAATGTTAAAACCCGTTCCTTTTTTGGAACTATAAAGCTGAAACAACTGAGCTGTTAACACAAACTGGCCAAAAGGATGAGGTAATTGTGTGCAAAGTCCATTTTTTAACAAACGTATCCTATGCGAGTTATGCCCCAGCTCCAAAATGTAAACAATTAGTAATTCAACCCGGATGTGCCACGCCCACCCCAATTTTTTTGTCATAGGTGAATTCATATTCAAAGTGTCTAGTTGTATTCCAAATATCAAGGTTCTACATAAAATAGGTCATAAGATATACATACACCAAGATCAAAAAGACACAAATATGGTAAAACTAAACTCATATTTGAAAAAATCTCGAATTTCAATTTTGCTTTAAAAAAGCAATTGTTCTATATCTATGTAAAGTGCATGAAAAGCACATTAGGTCACGTGCTAGAGCAGTCCAAAGTTGCGAATTTGGCTTTTTACGGATAGCTATAAAACCGGAAGTACATGTCGGAGGTCAAAGGTCAAAGGTCAAAGTATCAAATGATAGCCAAGGTCAATGACCTTTGACCTACTAAAGGTCAACGTCATCAAGGGTCAAGGTCACAAGAAATAAGCTTTCAAACTTTAAGAAAATTCAACCAGAAGTTGCGAAAATGCAAAAGCAAAATTAAAAAATCAGCTCGCAACGTTTTGTGAACATTAGACAGCAGATTACATCGACACCGAATTTATGCAGATTTAGTTTATCCCTAAGGACTTATTTCAATTTTAAGAAAATTAGAAAATGAAGATGGCGGCCAAAGTATCACTTCCGGTCTGGATTTTATATTCTTCGTTTTTTTGTATTAGCATTTACTTACGACCTGCATAAATTCCGTTGACCTATTTCATTTACACCAGAAGTTATTGGACCGGAAGCAGATTGTACTTTCAATTGATTCCACCTTCAAAACCGGAAGTAACGTCAAAACTCTGACTGTATCATATCATTGACTTTATTGATGTCTCTTTGCATTTTAAATTTCAGATCAATCGATGCAAAAACAAAAAAGTTGCAAAAAAATTGCAAAATTCAATCGAAAAAAGTTTGCGACAAATTTTCGAATTTCGTAATTATTCAAGTGCTATCTGATCAGAAATTAGAGCCAGATTTTAAAAATGAAAACCCGAAGAAAATCGATGCAAAAATGCGCCTTCTAGCCAATTTACGAGTTTTTGCATATGTTGCACTGTGGCACTTACGGTTTTGCAAAAATGTTCCAATTCATATTCATTAACAACGTCGCCACTGCAGAAGGTTTACACATGTAGAAATGTTGATGTAGCTATTGAAGCCTAGGCTGTGTGCCCTGTGGAAATTTCGAAAAAACAAAAAA